TGTCAGAACAGAGCAAGGAAACACTGCATGGTTCAAAATTGGGAAGGGCGTATGCCAGGGATATATCTTGTCTCCATACCTTTTCAACCTGTATGCAGAACAGATCATCTGGGAGGCTGGGCTCTATGAGAAAAAGTGCGGCATCAGGATTGGTGGAAGATCTATCAGCAATCTGCAGATGACACAACCCTGCTTGCTAAAACTGAGGAGGACCAGAAGTGCTTGCTGCTGAGGGTCAGGGACTGCAGTCTTCAATATGGATTGAGGCTCAGTGTTAAGAAGACAAAGATTCTCACCACTGGACCAGTTGGCAACATCAGGATGGATGGTGAAGAGATTGAGATTGTTCACAGCTTTAGTCTTCTTGTCAACACTCTTGGCACCAGCAGCCAGGAAATGCACATAACAACAACAACTTCTGGGATTGCAGTGCAGTTTCTTGCCACTAGGCCACCAGAACTCCCTGAAAGTTGAACTCTTATGGGAAGAGTGAAATGGGAAGGGGAATTAATTTTTATTGAGCACCAGCTATTGATTACTTGACATTGTTCTATATATTACATAAATGATACAGTCTCTTATCAACAATTTTATATAATGAATACAGTGATAATTCTGTGGTAGAATTCCAGACCTCTTTTGAGGAAATGCAAGTTTTATTCCAGCTGTGGACCTCATTCGTGCCCAACCACCACCTATATGAAATTGGAAGCTTGGTTACTCTGATGCTGAATAAGCTTCCCTGGTGCTTCCAGTCTAAGATAGACTAGAGGAAAAGGTCTGATGATCAGCTTCCAAAAATCAGCTAGTGAGAACTCTGGTGATCACAGCTCTCTGCAGTTGATTATAGGGACGGCACAGTACTGAGTCGAGTTTTGTTCCATTGCACATGGTTTGGCTATAAGTCGGGCCGCTGTATGGCAGCTAACAAAAACTCTATGGAAAAAATAGTTCTGTGTCCCACTCTAAGGTGAGAACATTGATGTTTAAGAAAAAATTAAGCACCTCACCTACGATCTCACTGCCAAGATCTTCAAACTGTCCCCTTTGCTCCTCCACATTTTAGAGAGGTCCCTCATAGTGGACTTGTTCAGTGAGACATAATCTCCTTATTTCTTGGCTCCTGGTACCAAGGGTATTGATTATTGATCCAAGGAAGAGTAAATCATTGACAGCTTCCATCCTTTTATCATCTCTCACGTTTACTGTTGGTCTTGTGGTGAGGACCTTTGTTTTCTTGAAGTTGAGATGTAGTCCATACTGAAGGCTGTAGTCCTTAATCTTCTGCATCAAGCATTTCATTTTATAGCAAGCACCAGTGTGTAAATGCCAGAGGGGTCACACATGGTATACAGGGTTTAGTAGAGCTCCTAGGTTAAGGCATGCTAGAAAGCAGGGTTGACTTAATCTACTTTTGAAATAGCAGGCCTCTGAAAACCCTATGAACAATAGAGGAACATAGGTAGTTGTTAGATATTAGAGGTAATAGTAGAGGTAGAGAAGTTAATCAAAATGATGCAAAACAGCTGCAAACATTGTTTAATAGTTGGGACATGAAATGTACAAAGTAAGAATGTTAAAAACTAGAAGTTGTGAAAAATTAAATGAAACATGTGAACATGGACATTCTAGGCATAGTGAGATAAGATGGACTGGCTTTGGCCACTTTGAATTAAATAATCATATGGTATACTATACCAAGAATTGGATTGGGGAAGTCTGCTGTCAGGAACCTCTTCAGATTACTGAGGAGCAACAGCGTCAGTCTAGAGACTAACGTGCACCTGATCCAAACCATGGTCTTTGCAGTTACTTGCTGTGCATCAGAGAGCTGGAAAGTGACTAAAGGTGACAGAAGACTAATTAATGCCTTTGAGATGTGGGGCTGGAGAAGAGTATTGAATGTACAGTGAACCCCTAAGAGAACAAACAGGTCTGTCTGGGAGAGGGTGAAACCAAGTTTCTCCTTGGAGGCTAGGATTTTTGAAGCTCCATCTCACATACTTTAGGCACGTGGCCAGGAGTGACCAGTCCTTGGAGAAGGGTTTCATGCTTGGAAGGGTGGAGGGACAGTGCAGGAGAGTAAGACCCTGGATGAGATGGATTAATACAGTAACTGGGGTAATGGAGGTAGGTATGTCAGAGTCAATGAGACTGTGTCAGGCCAGGGTAGACTTCAGAGCTATTGTGCATAGGGTCGCTATGAGTCACAGGTGACTTGGTGGTACATAGCAACAACAACAGTAATAACCTGATTCAGAGTGACCCAGCCAGTCCATCTTAGTTCACTTATGCCTAAGGTGAATAGCTTTAATACGTCAGCTACTTGAATTCCTCTATTGTTTATAGGGCTTTTAAGGCCTGTTATTTTAGGAGTAGAAGACCAGCCCTGCTTCTTAGTCTCTCTTATTCTATGAGCTCTGCTGCAACCTCTCCAACATTTGAAACACTGATGGCATAACTTCCATCATCAGAGCAACTCACGTGTTGAAATAGGGGGAACAGTGCATGGTTTACAATCAGAAAGAGTATGCATTAGGGATGTGTCCTTTCTCCATACCTATTCAGTCTGCATGCTGAGCGAATTACTCAGAAGGCTGGACTCTGTGAAGAGGAATGTGGCAGCAGGGTCTGAGGAAGACTAATCAGCAACCTGTGTTATACAGAAGACATAATCTTACTTGCTGAAAGTGAGGACAAGTTGAAATTCTTGCTGAAAATGATTAAATACTGCAGCGTTCAATATGGATTACATCTCAACATCAAGAAAACAAAGGTCCTTACCATTGGGCCAGTAGAGACAACATCATGATAGATGGAGAAAGGATTGAAACTGTCAGTGATTTCAACTTGCTTGCATCCACAGTCAGCATCCTTGATACTTCCCAGTTAGAAAATCAAGAGACTGGGAAGTCTGCTGTTAGGGACCTTTCCATATTATTAAGAAGCAATGATGTTTGAAGACTAAAGCTTACCTGATTCAGGCGATAGTCTTTTCAGTCACTTGCTATGCATCTGAGAGTGGGACAGTGAATAAAGATGACAAATAATTGACTCTTTGAATTATTTTGTTGAAGAAAGGCACTGGATATCCCTGGACTGCCAAAAGAACAGACAGAGATATCTTGGAAAAAGTACAGCCAGAGTGGGCCTTGGAGGTGAAGACGGCAAAGCTTCATGTCTCATACTTGGGCATATTACAAAGAGAGGCTTTTCTTTAGAGAGGGACATCGTGCTTGGAAAGGTAGAGGGTTAACAAAAGAGAGGAATATCTCCAGTGAGATGGATTGAGAAAGTAACTGCAGCAAGGGGCTCAAATGTGTTGGAGATTATGAGGATAGCAAAGGATAGGGCAAAGGATCAGGTCTTGTTCACAGGGTTGCTGTGAGCAATATTTGACTGAATGGCATCTAAGAACAACAATAGTAGGAACCAACTACCTCAGAATTTTACTATTAATGGCAGTTTTTATTGCACTCCTATTTGAAAACAATGAACATGTGCTATTTCTGTAGTCTGGTATAAAAGGTTATTCTAAGAAAGTCCCGTAGTATTAAAGTTTAGATATTTAAACGGCTTTCATAGTACTTCCTTCCATTTTGAGGAACATATTTATATGAGCAGGATTGTTACTGTTTATTTTTATCATTAATTTGAAATATATTTTCAAATGGAGTCCAAGTATGTGTAGATCTCTTCTTCCCCTTTCCTCTGGAAATAAAGTATAAATCCTTGCTATCATAACATATATCCTTAAACACAAGGCAATAAAAAAACTTCTAATCCCAAGTATATGCTATTATTATTCTCTTTAATATTTCATTTACTACTTGTGGGTATAAGGACAACTCTCAAGTAACAGCATTAATAAATTGCATTCATCTTTGTTTACTAGGTATGTGTATCTTAAAATGAATAATTGAAAGGGTAGTATAAATATTTTAATGATGTAATGTCTTCAAGTTTCAAGAAATTATCTACATCTCAGAAAGTGAACTTAAAGAATTGATGGCAGTATTTGTGTATAATCTTAATTTTTGTTAATTGTGTGAATATTAGAAGGTGTATGTATTCCTTTTCATGTCAAAGAGTAAATATGACCACTAAAATTATTTAACAAATGTTAAATGTGTCATTGAGAAGGATTGACACAGTGACTGCGTCAATGAGCTTGAGCATTTGGGAGAACATTAGGACGGCACAGGACAGGCAGAATTCCACTCTGCTCTTCATAGAGTAAGCTCTCAGCTGGATGGCATCACCACCACCAGATGCCTACTGTGTCAGGAAATGTGCTACGATCACAACCTCTTAACAGTTTGTTGTGATCTTTAGAAAGGTGAAATTATTTTATACTTTCCTTTGGTTAGATTTCAGTTGTTGTTGTGTGCCATTGAGTCAAAACGGACTTATAGCTGACCTTCCAGGGGTTTTCAGAGGCAAAAAATTGCCTGGGAGATTGCTTATCCTTCTCCCCGAGAACTGCTGCTGGATTCAAACCTCATGCCTTTGGAATAGCAGCCCAGCTTCTTACCACTAGGCCACCAGAACTCCCTAACAAATCTCCATTACAAATAACAGATCTAACAAGTAACATCTCAGTTACAAAGAGAAAATAGGAGGGATTTTTTATGTATGCTGTTGACACAGTGTAAGCAAAATAGAAAATGCAGACAACTTAGCTTCTAACTTCTTTCCCACCGTGCAACAGGAGACGTCAGCAGTGAGACAGTAAGAAATTTCTGCCAGCAATGCCCTTGCTCCTGAAAGACTGTGGCTCATCATAGACATTTTGGGAACATTGACTCCAGCAAAACAAGCTCCAGAGAAACTTCAAATTTAGTGATAAGAGTTTATTTTTAGGGCATGAAGTATTGGAAATGACTGAAGTATAAGATGAAAAATGAGTTGAATTATTGTTTAGTGAGTACATAAAATGTGATTAAGAACTTGGGAATGAGATGGAACAACAGTACTAATGGATATTCACATTTTCCCAGGCTTTGTTTCAAGCTGGGGAGCTCAAGTGGGGGACGGATGAAGAAAAATTTATCACTATCTTTGGAACACGAAGTGTGTCTCATTTGAGAAGGGGTGAGTCAAAGTATAGAGCCAATGTTCTAGTGAATGTTGAAAGTAGATGTCAAAATGATTTCATAACAGATACTTATGGAATGAACAGTCTTTTTTTCCTTTATTAACTTTCGGCTACCTTGAGACATTTCATTTCGTTTGTTGCTACTTTAAATAAAGTCTTACCAAAAGTGACTTTAAAAACTGAGGTTTATGTTTGTCCATAGAATTTCATGTCTGGATTTTCAGGTCATGAACTTTGATTTTCTGTTCTACCATCTTTCATGTTCCAATTTTCTTCCTTCTGATTCTTATCTCATTGTTACAATATGGCTGTTGTAGCTTCAAATATAACCATTTTTTACAGCTGGAAGAAAAGGAAGCAAAAGATAAAAAAAAGGAAGAAAAGTCAATATCTCTTTTTTGTTGTTTGTTTGGGGTTTTTTTTGGTCAAGAAAAGGCAATAATTCCGGAATTCGCCCTAGTAGATATCCCTTTGGATCTCTCTAGTTATAACTGGTTGAGGGCAAGGGCTAGGGAATCCGTGAACACCTAACTTTAATTGTCTGTTGCTTGAGGCTTGTCATCATATCGAGGCTCTGATATCAAGGTTGGGTAGGACATCGCCTGATCAGAGTAAATATCTTTCGGGAAAGAGTTCTCTTTATTTGATTAATAACTTACTTGCATTATTTCCCCCCTAGTGTTTGACAAATACATGACCATATCAGGATTTCAAATTGAGGAAACCATTGATCGAGAGACTTCTGGTAATTTGGAGCAACTACTTCTTGCTGTTGGTAGGTAACTTTACTATGTATATAGTAGTTATTGTGTGAAGAGCTGAAATATTTCATGCAGTTGATGATGTATTTGAAAAGAATCACATATTTCTTAAAGAATTTGACCGGATGTTTGGGTAACTCAACTCCTAACTTTCGAACTCAGAAGTCTGCTTTGAAGTTAGAAATTTATGAATAGTTGATCATTTGTTTCCATATTAAGTAATTTTGAATTTTATTTTAACTGAGGTTTCAAAATAATCTAGAAAGATTAGAGAAATGATGTTTTGCAGTTTGTTGTTGTTATGTGCCATTAAGTTGCAACTCATAGCAACCCTATGTACAATATTCTGAAGCCTGCCTAATCCTGAGCCAGTCTCACTGACTCTTAACACACCACCTACCCCCATTATACCAGTTACTGTGTCCATCCATTTCATCTGGGGTCTTCCTCTCCTGTTCTGTCCTTCTGTCCTTCCAAGCATGATGTCCTTTTCCAAGGTCTGGTCCCTCCTGGCCCATGCCCAAAGTATGGGATATGGAGTATCAACATCCTTGCCTCCAAGAAGAAACTTGATTTCACCCTCTCCAAGACAGACCTGTTTGTTTTCTTAGTGATCCCTGTGGTTCAATACTCTTCTCCAGTACCACATCTCAAAAGCATCATCAATGCTACTTCTGTCATCCTTAGATGTTGTGCATAGCAAGTAATTGTGAAGATCATGGCCTAGATCAGTCACACCTTAGTACCTAGACTGACATCATTACACTTTAGCATTCTGGAGAGGTCCCTGACAGCAGATTTCCCCTATGCAATTCATCTTTTGATTTGCAGTAGATTGTAATTTGGTATACTTTCCTAATACAAAGAAAATCTTACTTGAGAGTCTACCTAGTTTTCATGTGGTTCTGGAGCAAACCTTTGTCGAATGGAAATTTTTCTTCAAAGTCCTGATGATAGGCTGCACTTTTTGTGCAGTCTTTTAGAGAAAAAGCTAAGGATATACAAACACCAACACTAAAAGTATATTTCATCTTCTGAGTCTGTAATTCATAAATTTTTACTTGGAAACAAGTAGGCAAACTCTTCATAATTAGAATGCGCATCAAAATGATCACAGTTTTAATTACAAGTTTCTTTCTTAAGGACTAGTAAAAGGGGAATTAAACTATAATTCAAGGATTATTTTTTCTATTAAAATATTTTTTGTGATAGATTTTCTAATGTTAACTTCGTTAAGGAGCCCCAGTTAACACATTAGACATGCTCATGTTCAGAAAAATTTGCTTTTTTTGCATTAGTTTATTATTGTTGTTGTTGATTGCCTTCGATTTGAGCATGATTATAGTGACCCTCAGAACAAAAGACCTGAAGCTGTTCTATAATCATCATCATTTAGCAAAGTTCATAGAGTTTCCAGAGGCATGTTATTTAGGCAGAGGATGCCACTCCTGATAAATCTCATGTTGCTGTGTGTGAACCTCATATTGCTCTGGGTATTAAGAACACTGACATTAAGATATAGGCCAAGGGTTGTCAAAGATTAAATACAATGGCCTTGTCTAGCCTGTGACTAGGACTACATGATGCCTAGCTCCAACTGCTGACTGAGTGAGGACTCACAGAAAGGTCTGGATAGAATTGGAGAAAAATGGAGAACAAACTGAAATTCTAAAAATGGGTTTTATTTACTGGACCAGTTAGGACTAGGGGAACCCTTGAGATTACTGCCCTAAGATACTTTTTGAACTTTTTAAAAAGATACTTCTGAAGAATAACTTGCATCCAAATAATAGGCTAGTAAAATAGACACAATTGCCTATGAGCACTGTCCTAATCTAAATAATAAACTAAATGAAACCAGTGGCAAACATTTCCACTGAAGTTAAATTGAAAATGTAGGGAAGAGCAGGGAAGCTAGATTACAGGATAGAAACAACCATTCTAGGATAGAACAAACAGAAGGGAAATGAGAATACTGGCACACTATGAAAAATGGAACCGATATAGGGAACAAACCTGTCAAATGGGAACTTCATTTGCTGTGTAAACTTTCACTTAATACATAATAAAATATCATTTAAACAGAGATAGATAGGGTAGTAATACCTTCCTTAGAACAAAGGTGGGCCCTTGACTCATTGTGATTTATAACCTTGGAAAACCCAGTAAAGGGTTTTTGCTTTTGAGTAATCCTGTATCATTTGCGTGTGTGTCTTGGAATAAAAACATGCAAGAGGCTTGCATAATTTATTGTAAATGTTATGAAGAAGATGACTCACTGGAGGATATTGTTCTTGGTAATGTAAAGGGTTAGCACAGAAGAGAAGTCCTTCAAGGACTCAGTGCCTGCAACAGTGGGACCAAACAGCAGTGATTATGAGGATGTCGCAGGGCCAGACAGTTTCATTCTGTTGTTCAGAGTTGCTATAAGCTAGAATTGACTTGTTGGTGCCTAATAACAACTCTAACAGTGGGCTTGAGCATATCAAAGATTATAAGGTAGCACATAAGAGGGCAAGTATCAGATCTGTTGTTCAGAGGATTGCTGTGATTGTAGTTGACTCAGTAGCACCTAACCACAACAATAGCAGGATTGTTATATAACCCAGAGTGCCCAAATGCTATTAAAAAAAAGTGCTTGTATAACAAAGAAGCATAGCGAAATCTTGGATTTCTTGCCATACATGCCTTTCTATGTAACTCAAAACTCAAGCTGGACTCTAAGAAAATACTTGGTGATTGACGAGATTAGATTAGCTTGCATAGGAGCCATGTTACTGCTTTTATAAAAATAGAATCATTGGCGGAAGGCGGCTATATTTTAAAGTTATAAAATCCTTTCATATCAGAATAAAATGTGATGATTGTATTATTTGTTTTCATAGTAAAATCTATTCGAAGTATACCTGCCTACCTTGCAGAAACCCTCTACTATGCTATGAAGGTAAGAAGATCTCTAATTAATCTTTCTTTATCTTGAAACTCTAGTCTGTCTTGATGGTTATTATGTTTTCCCCATCTTATGTAGTTATTTTTATCATGTTTTAGATGAGAAAGTCTTGTTTTAATTTAAAACATGTATCTCAGTTCTACTAAATTGCTTTACTTTATTGATTTATTCTATCTCAAGGGAGGATAAATGCTGTAACTGATGTTTTTAAAATTACATGCCTCTCTCTTTTTCTTTTTCCAAAGGGAGCTGGGACAGATGACCACACCCTCATCAGAGTCATGGTTTCCAGGAGTGAGATTGATCTGCTTAACATAAGAAAGGAGTTCAGGAAAAATTTTGCCACCTCTCTTCATTCCATGATCAAGGTAATAGGAAAAGCCAATTGCTGTCCAGTTGATGCCATGTATCTTGGTGCAGAACTGTGCTCCTTCGGGTTTTCTGTAACTTATCTCTCAGGAGATTGCAAACTCTCTCTTCCCCTGAGGTAATTATGGGTGGACTGAAACCACCAGCCTGTCAGTCACCAAGTGCACTAACTCTTTCCACCACCCAAGGATTTGTGGGTAATAGAACTTTTAAAAATCAGAGTAGACCAGAGACTGACTAGATGGATGATAGAATCCAGTCTCTGTGTTAAAATTTTAGTGATAGAGTTAGAGCTACTCTTGTGGCATAATCCAAAGCTGGTTGCATTGCTAACACAGAGGCATCTTTCGTGGCGGTTCATTTTATCAGCTGCTCTCAGGGGGAAAAATAGGTAACCTCCTAGCCAGAAACCCAATGGAAGTCCCCTTCATTTGTAACTGACTTGGTGGCATTAAGTGAGTGAGATTAGAGCTATGTGTTACAAAGTTTGGATAATGTTTCTTGAAGAAGGGATGATGGCCTCCAAGTGAAAGCTGGAACGGGTGCTGACACTCTTGGTGATATTAAAAGCATTATTGAATAGTGATGACAGGTGACTCAGCAAACCCAGCCCCATGTCCATGATAATGATGTGAGTATTCTTTCTTTTATTGGTTCCAGCTGTCTTTAGTTCCTCTTTTCCTTCATATCAGTTTTTCATTATTTTATTGTCTGTTATCATCTTGTCTCTGGTATTTGCTTTTAGGTAGAAAGAACCAAGTACATCTTTACTTATCTGGCATAAGTAAAGAGCATACATATCACTAGCATTTTTGTCTTTTCTAAATGCAAAGGATTCTGGACCCCTAATTATAATTGGCTTAAGACATTTTAGCTATTCTCTTGTTGTTTTTGGTCAAAGAGTAATGTGGTCCATGTGCTAAGGAAGATCTCAATTAAGGAAGTTTTTAATTTAGTGTTTGGTTTAGCTGAAACGTGGTCAGTTCATCCATATGCTGTCTGCAGAAACACATCTGTATATGAAACAAGACAAGCCAAAATCATCAAGTCTTGCAGCCCCTATAGTACTTATCTTCAAAAAGGAAAAGAAAAGCTCTTTGCAGTTGAATCAGTCCCAACAGAGTGACCCTTTAGGACAGAGTAGAGCTGCTTCATGAGGTTTTCAAGGCTGCAAATCTTTATGGGAGCAAATTACACATCTTTCTCCTGAAGACAGGTTTGTAGTTTTGGTCCACTGACGTTTCGATTAGTAGCTAAGCACTTAACCACTGCACCACTTGGGCTCCATTTACCTGCCATGTATTAGAAATGTATAACTTACTTAGAAAGCTTGTATTTAATATGCTTGTTCAATGTGAGGGCAGATCCTTTACCCTGACCTCTGTTACTAGAGGGAAGTATGTAAATTACTGTCTTTGAGAAAACTGTGTTTAAGTTAGAAAGTTAATATAAGTTAGATTGATAAGGAAACTCTCTGAATAACAATGCTGAAGTGAAAAAGTCATACACACAAAGATTACCCACTTGGGAGTGATACAAATGAGATGAATGTATTTGCTATTCTGAATTTCTTAGCTTTGGTTTTCTGTGGAGTGTTGTGTGACTCATGGAGATTAATGAAGTACGTTTGGGTTTCAGGATGATACATCGGGGGACTATAAGAAAGCCCTCCTGCTGCTCTGTGGAGAAGATGACTAAAGTGCCTCCTGGGAGACCCGCCCTGTGCCTCCCACCGCTGCCTCTGCTGCCGTCCAGCATAGCCAGCACACTTCTGTATGCTAGTGCCTGCCACATTGCCTTGTTCATACCACCATGCTAGTGACCAAAGCATGCATACTGTAGAAGTATGCATATACATATAGACACCTATGCTTATTTCTGATCTTAAGTTGAGACCTTTCTATCTCTTTGTTAAAGTACTTACATTATAAGGTCTAGAGACGTGACACCTATGCTTATTTCTGATCTTAAGTTGAGACCTTTCTATCTCTTTGTTAAAGTACTTACATTATAAGGTCTAGAGACGTGATCATTTATATTTTCTGTTAAGTGGTCAGACTGCTTTTAGCTTTTTTTGTAAAACTTCATTTATATTATTCCAATAACCATATTACCTTAATCGAAATCTTAGCCTTGAAGTTGTGAACTCCTGGAAGTGTTAATAATCAAGTTTGCTACTAAATGAAATCTAAAAACTCATGTTAGTTGCATTCAAAAGATTGACAAAAAATAAAAACAAACATTTCCAATTCCCCAAGTTACAGTTGTGAGTGTGTTTTAGAGTATTTTTTTTAAAAACAATATTATCTGTTTCTAAGGCCATCATTTGACAGCAATGCTAATTGAGAAGTGAATTTACAGTTGGGTTTTAGGATGATAGAAAGGTAACAACACAAGCTATGAGCTTCCTTCCTCCGCATGTGAAGTGAGGTTGAAGGAGGTTGGACCTGGGATGTATCTGCATGCTTGTCCTCTAGCTTGATAGAAATGCTCATTTGGAAAGCAAATAAAAATTCAGAGCACTATCTTCCTCTTTCCTATTATAAACTTGTTTTTCCCACTCACCATCTGCTACCTTCTTTGAGATAAAAAGTAAAAAGCAGGCATTGTGTTTTAGAAAGGAGCGGTTTCTTAATCTTGTCTGATATTTACTTTACAGTTTTCTTTCTGTGCTCAGATCACCTCTTTAGTTGGCATAGTAATACTTACACCCCCACAGACACATTTTGAAACCAAAGTGATAAACTGATTGCCCTTGGTAAGAAGACATCTCTAAAAAAATAATTCATCTCTCTATGGCAACATAGTATTAATGCCCTTTTCACAAAGTTAGCTGCTCATCAGAATCACCAGAGAAGCTTTAAAAAAAGATGTGTAATTGTATATAACCAGAAAAGTCTTAAAATTATCTAAGATATGAAAGATCCCCCCCCCCCAAGCGCTATAGTCAATTCTGTTGCAGAGTCAGATTGAGAATTATTCTTCATAGGAAATATCTTAAATGGTAGTGTCAGAGGTCAGAGGTTCACTTTGGTTTTTTTTTATTTTGTTGTTGGGCTTTTTTTTAAGCTAGCTGCTTTTAAATATAAATTCTAGTTAGTTTATTATGCTTCAAAAGAAATGACCTAGGCACCATTAAGATCTGCTATCCGTAATCCCTTTGTGATTCTATGCTCAGGTCTTGCTTTGTGATACTTAAAAGTTTATGTTTTTAATTTATTTCACATAGACAAGCTGACTCTAGATTTTATGTGAAAAATAATTAAAACATTAAAAAAATTCTCTATCATTGAGTCAGAGCTGATTGAAAGCTGACCCTCTCCTGGATTTCAGAGGCTATAAATCAAATAAGAGGGACCTCTGATGGCTTAGTGGTAAGGGATTGCCCTGCCTGTACAAAAGTATGCAGTTCAGATCCACCAGCTACTATGCAGCTCTGTCAGGTTTATTGACATGGTGACTGCTGGGATGGGCTTCAGTGTGTCAGGGTGTATGAAGATGACACAGGATAGGACAGGGAGCAGATCTGCTTTTCATAGGTCGCTATGAGTCATACTCGACCTGGTATCAACAACAATGCAAGAGAAAAATGGGACATTTCCTGTGCTGTTTACTGCCTCTGAAAACCTGCGAAAGGGTCAGGTTGGTTCTGACTTGACAGCACACACAGCGACAACATATATGTTCTAATACATGTGCTATGCATTAGAAATGTATAGGCTAATAAGAAAGCTTGCATTTAATGTAGTTGTTAGACGTGAAGACAGGCCCTTTTCTCTGTTGTCTTTTACTAAAGAGAAGCACATCATTTATTACCTTTAAACCTGTGACTTTTCAGAAGCTGTAAATCATACAAGTGAGTGTAATAAGCCTTTCCTATATCAGAATACATATACAGCCTCAATTATAACTATATAGTACATGAATAGACACATGGACAAATATCAGTACAAAAATGCAAAATACTTTACATTTGGAAATTTAAGTTTAATAGAGATAGGCCCTCATCTACTGTATACATATGGAATTAGACTTTGAAGTACATGATGTGAAAGAATTTGAGCAATCAACTAAAAAAACATTAGATCCATACTACAAGCCATATAGTAGAATAACTTAAAAATGGCTCAAATACGTAAAAGAACTAAGTCACAAACACAGTAGGAAAACATGAGATTTTTCTCCTTCACTACTAGGCTTCATCAGAACAGAGCAAGGAAACACTGCATGGTTCAAAATTGGGAAGGGTGTGCATCAAGGTTGTGTCCTATCTCCATATCTTTTCAATCTGTATGCAGAACAGATTATCCAGGAGGCTGGGCTTTATGAGGAGAAGTGTGGCATCAGGATTGGAGGTAGACTCATCAACAGTCTGCGTTATGCAGATGACTCAACCCTGCTTGCTGAAACTGAGGAGGACCTGAAGTGCTTGCTGCTGAAGGTCAAGGACTGCAGCCCTCAATATGATTTGAAGCTCAACATCAAGAAACCAGGTTCTTAACCACTGGGCCAATAGGCAGCATCATCATAGATAGTGAAGAGATTGAGATTATTGACAGCTTCAGTTTGCTTGGCTCTACAGTCAACACTCTTGAGACCAGCACACAGGAAATTAAAAGACAAATTGCATTGGGAAAGTTTGCTGTCAGAGACCTTTCCAAGGTACTGAAGAGCAATGATGTCAGTCTGGAGCCCAAGGTGCACCTGATACAGGCCATGGTCTTTGCCATTACTTGCTATGCATCAGTGAGCTGGACAGTGACTAGGAATAATAGGAGAATTTATGCCTTTCAAATTTGGTACTGGAGAAGAGTATTGAATATACCATGGACTGCTAGGAGAACAAACAATTTTGTCCTGGAGAGGGTGAAGCCAGGCTGCTCCTTGGTGTCAAGCATTCTGAAGCTCCATCTTAACATACTTTGGACATGTTGCAAGGTGGGATCAGTCCTTGTAGAAGGACATCATGCTTGGGAGGGTAGAGGGACAGGGCAGGAGAGGAAGACCCTCGATGAGATGGATTGATTCCATCACTGGTGTTATGGGGATAGGCGTGTCAGAGACAATAAAGTTGACAAGAGATAGAGTAGGGTTTAGGGCTGTTGTATATACAGTCGCTATGAGTCAGAATCGACTCGACACATAAAAACAACGTGTGTTGGGTTTTCTAAGAAGCAGATGCTAAAGAAGTTAGGGGTGTAAATGGTTTATTGAAGGGAAAGGAAGAAAATAAGGCAGGGACTAGTGCTCAGATTGTGATGCAGACATGCCTACTTTGCCAGTCTCATGTGAAGCTCGGGGGTGGTGTGTTTGAAGAAATAACTGAGCTCAATAATTAACACAGTGCTTAGCAGAGAAGAGAATGATTCATCAGGAAAATGGACACTTGTGCACTAAGGGTCATCACAGTATTACTTTTCACTCAAATTGGTGGAGATAACCTACATGTCTATCTGCAGATGGGTGAATAATGATTGGCCATAGAATGAAGTCCTGCTCTGGGATACTGTGTGGATAAACCGTGCAAACTTTATCCTGACTGAAATGAGACCCTTACTAAGGGACAAATATATGATCTCCTCAATAGAAAATGCCTAGAATAGGTAAATGTATACAGATTAAAGTCTGTTAGTAATTACCAAGGATTCAAAGGCCAATGAAAAAGGAAGATTCTGCTTAGGGTTTCTGTTACAGATGATGGAGAAATTTGGAAATAGTTGTGATGGCTGTTGTTATTAATATCTAAGTCAAATTAAAAAAAATGATAAAATTTATCTCTATCATCTTATCAGTCTATCATCTATCTATCTTTTATCTCTACACATACCTGACCCTTCTGTGGGTTTGTGATAATCGCACAGAAAGAGATTCCCTGTCTTTCTCCCGCGATACAGCTAGTATATGCGAACTGTGTACCTTTGGGATTGCAGTTCAGTTTCTTACTGGTAGGCCACCAGAGTTTCTACACACACACACACACACACACACACACACACACACTCTCTCTCTCTCTCTCTCTCTCTCTCTCTCTCTCTCACTCACTCTGAAATAAAAGCTGAAGCAAACCCAAAGTAGCTAAAAACTGGACACTGCTACCCACCTACACTCCTCCCAGCTTTTCCTAAAGGGAAATCTAAGTTGCCTGTCACCATATCTGCTTTAATAACCTTGCAATTGGTGGGCTTTCTAACTACCACTCCAAATCCTAAAGTTGACAACAAAACTAGAAGAAAAAGATGGTAATGTTTTTCTTTATTTTTTTATTAATATTTGTGTCTTCTATAGAAGCCCAGGCTGAAAGTAAAGAATACAAGAAGAATGTCTATTTGTTCTCTACTGACTATGTACAGGCATTTGACTGTAGCCCATAACAAGTTGTGGCTTATATTGAGAAGAATGGTAGTCCTGGAGCACTTGATTATGTTCAAGTGAAACTTACACCTGTATCAGAAGATTGTGTGAACAGAGCAAGGGAACACTGCATGGTTTATAATTAGTAAGGGAATGCGTAAGTTATATTCTACCTCTATACCTATTCAATCTGTATGCTGAGGAAATTATTTGAGAAGTTGGTCTCTGAAGAGGAAGACACCAAGATCAGAGGGAGACTCATCAATAGCTCGAGATATATAGATGACACAACCTCGCTTGCTGAACGTAAGGAGGACTTGAAGCACTTGTTGCAGAAAAAGATGGTA